GCCCATATAGGATCCTGGTGCTTTCAAGGCAAGGACTTTAGCCGCTAGGCCACAGCTTCAGGACCTTGAATATGTATTTTTAAAGCTTTTTTTTCAAAAAGGAGATAGAAAAAGCAAGAGAAACCTGTTAGTTTATTCCCCAAAAGGCAATCATGGTGGGTGTAGACAGAAGCCAGGAGCCCGGAGCTGCAGCTCAAGCCCCTGGCTGTCTTCTGTTCTTTCCCGAGAGCACTGGCAGGAGGCTGGATACCAAATAGAACAGCTGGGACTGCGCTTCCTGTCCCACGAGGACAGCACCATCTTAGCCTGACTGAAGGAGACTTCCGGGAAGCGGCTCGGCCAGGCTCTGTTATCTTGTTCATTTTACATTTCTAATGGTTCATTTCCGTGGCGTTTCATCTAATTGTGGATGAAATTTAAAATGTGACAACTTCTCCGTAGTTTTCCTATTCCCGAGCCCCTCCGTGGACGCCTGGGACCTGGACAGTGCTGGACGCTGTTTTCAGCTTCCCTCCCAAGCTTAATGTCAGGTTACTCTTTGTTCCTTGTTGAGAACAAATCTCCTCACCCAAAGGAAGCACTTTCTGGCTGCTTCTCGGCTGAATGTCCATTCCACTGCGGTTGTAACTTGGGGGTGACTGTTACACTAAAACGCCTTGGACACAAGCACCGTGGTTCCATGGCAGGAGATGTGCTAACCAGGTGGCAGCTAAGAACCTGAGGCGTGAGTGGTGCTTGGTGTGGGCACACTGCACAAAGGAATGACTATTTTGTCACTAACCTGAAGGGAATACTTATCTTTCAGCATTTGTTCTATTTGAAAAGTAGATTTTACTGAGAGAGCGCAAGGAGTTTTTCATATACTGGTTCACTCCTAAAATGGCTGCAGCGGTCGGGGCTGAGCTGATGGGTGCCAGCAGCTTCCGTCTGCATCTCCCAATGGTGCAGGGCCCAACGCTCCACTGCCTCCCCAGATCAAGAAGAGCTGGCTAGAAAGTGGAGCAGCTGGGAACTGAACCTGTTTTGATTTGAGACACTGGTGTCACAGAGTTTAAGCAGCCACACCAGTCACTAGCACAACTGTTTGCTTGTTTGTTTTAGCCCAAAAGTTTTTCTTTTCTTTTTGGTTAAGATTTATTTATTTTTATCTCAATGTCAGGTACACAGAGAGGAGAAGAGACAGAGAGGCAGATCTTCTGTCCGATGGTCACTCCCCAAGTGGCTGAAATGGTCTGAGCTGGGACAATCCGAAGCCAGAGCTTTTTTTGGGTCTCCCACATGGGTGCAGGGTCCTAAGGCTTTTGGTGAACCCTGTTGGGAATTCTGTGCCCCTCCTGGATCTTGTTTCCCAATTCTTTCTCTAGGGAAATTTTCCGTTGTTGTTTTATTAAATACACTTTTAAACCCAGCTCCTCTTTTTGCACCTTCTGGGACTCCCATAACTAATTTTTTTAATCTTCTTTCCCATAATTCTTATGTTTGGCCTTTTAATAGTGTCTTTCAATTCCTGAAAACTTTTTTTTAGCTTGACCCAGCTCTGCTTCCAGCTTTTTGTTTGTTTCCCCCTGGTGACAGGAAACATCTTCCAATTCTTGAGATTCTTTCTTCTGTTTCTTTCATTCTATTTTGGAGACTTTCCACTGTATTCTCTCTCTCTCTTTTTTAAAAGATTTATTTTTTTTTTTATTGGAAAGTCAGATATACAGAGAGGAGGAGAGACAGAGAGGAGGATCTTCCATCCAATGATTCACTCCCCAAGTGACCGCAACGGCCGGTACTGAGCTGATCCGAAGCCAGGAACCAGAAGGCTCTTCCGGGTCTCCCACTCGGGTGCAGGGTCCCAAAGCTTTTGGCCGCCCTCGACTGCTTTCTCAGACCACAAGCAGGGAGCTGAATGGGAATCAGGGCTCCCGGGATTAGAACCAGCGTCCATATGGGATTCTGGCACATTCAAGTTGAGGACTTTTAGCCACTAGGTCACAGTGCTGGGCCCTCCCCTGTCCTCTTAATTTGCTCCACTGTAGTCTTAATTTTTGATAAATCACCTTTTATTTGATTCATTTCCATTGTGACATATTCCTTAAATTCCTTTAACAGCTGCTTTACATGTTTCTTGTTATTGATAAGCTTTATAAAAAGTGTATCCCGTTTTCTCGATGTCTTACTCAGTGAAATCTGAGTTTGTAAAGGTGCTTACTCCTTTGCAGAGGAGTCTTAGTAACATTCATTGTGCCTCTGTCTCTTCTTTTGCTCTTGGTCATTGTACTTCTGGTTGCTAGATTGTTCTTCTTGGGGCAGGTTTCTAATATGAAACCTAATGTAGCTGTCTATACTGATCTGTAGCTTGCTGAATTCACTCGGGTTACTAGCTGGTGGACACTTTCCTTGTGAACAAAATCAGAATCTCTGATTTGCTGTCCTTGTTTCATACAAGAGTGACTAGTCCAGTGTTTCCTCAGAGGCGAGAGAGGACATCTGTGTCTGCAGTGTGATCTAGTTTGTAGAGACATCAAGGAGGTTCCTTTCTATTTCTAGCTTATTAGATGTCCTTTCCAGTCCTGGACGTTGCTATTCAATGTGTGTACTTAGTCTGTCAATGCAGTTGATTGGTCTTTGAATTCTAACCCAACATTCTTCCATTTTTAAAACAAACATCGTTTGTTCATAATGTTTCATCCACTGTAAGTGTGAGCACATTGAAATGCATGTGTTCTGCATTGGACCGCCTTGACACACCTGTAAGGGCTGTCCTTCCCTCATTAGTGCAAATGAGGCAGGGGGTGGGGCTGACACCATGGCTTAGAGGCTAAATGTTCGCCTTGTACCTGCTGGGACCCATAATGGCCCTGTTCATGTCCTGGCTGCTCCACTTCCCAACCTGTTCCCTGCTTGTAAACTGGGAAAGCAGTCAACGATGGCCCAAAGCCTTGGGTCTCTGAATCTGCATGTGAGAGCCAGAGGAAGCTTCTGTCTGGCTTTGGATTGGCTCAGCTCCATTGTGGCCACTTAAGAGTGAAACAGCTGATGGAAGATTTTTTTGTCTCTCCTCCGTGTAAATCTGGCTTTCCAATAAAAATGAATAAATCTTCAAAAACAATGAAAATGAAGGGCTTTCTTATCGTCCCATGTCCTGAAAGACTTTGTATAAGGTGAATTTCATTAATGTCATGAAATGCATGCATGAAGCCATCTGAGTCTGACGATTAAGTCCGAGTCTTAATACATCAGTGGTGCGATCATTGCTTCTCTTTCCTCTGGATTGTAGTGTTTAGACATCCACCAGCTGCGGGAACATCTCCAGAGCTGCAGATACACTGACTCATTACAGCTGAGTCAGAGAACCCAACGAAACAATGGCTTCGGATCACGGAATCTCATTTGCACATGCATCGTCCAGCAATTGTCCTAACACGGACGCCCCGCAGTTTCAAGAAGACCAAAAACCTGCTGTACAAATGGAAGATAGTTCTAATTCCTCGACGGCAGTCAGCTCCTTCCAATTCAACGGTGACTTGGGTGCCAGACAAGAACTTGCAAGACTCCGTGACATTTTCTATTCGTGGCTCCAGCCTGAAAAGCGTAGCAAGGAAGAAATGATCTCTCAGTTGGTCATAGAACAGTTTGTGATGAGTGGACACTGCAAGGACAGAGCTGCGCTTATACAGCAGTGGGAGTCCCGAGGCAGAAACCTGCAGATGCTGATAGAAGACCTCAATGATGACATGCAGGAATCACCCTTAGTAAGTAAAAGGGTCTGAGCTCTGGGGTCAGGGAGAAGGCATCAGGTGAATCACCTGGAAGCAGAAAAACCTACTGCAGACCCCTTGCCCATCAGAACACTCTTCACCAGCAAGCAGAACGTTCACAGTTGTAATTAAACCAGGAGCAAAGCCATATATATATTGAGCTATTGTTATTTTTGTTTGGTGTCATAACAATATTTGATCAAGGAACTCAAGGATAGAGAAGGAATGCCTTAAAATGGTATTTTTCCTCAAAGAGGCATACTGTAATTTTATTAGGAAAAGTATTAAAGAATAAGTCACAGTGAATCCTCATCCTTCTACCTCATTTTAAAATCACTAGTGCACACTTGTCACTTCAGAATCACATAGTCAGTCATTTGCAAACATGTGTAACACGGCAAAACTGATTTGAATTATCTGATGAGAACATTCCAGATAATGCTGAGTGCAGCTACTTTCTTGTTTCAGCTCACAACTACTTCATGCGTTTTTACACTTTGGGTAGTTCCAGGGAACTGAGAATTTGTTTCTAATCAAAGCACCGATCCAGCACTTGGGAATTCAGGTTCCACAGTGGTGGAGAAACATAGCAATAACTTGGGAATAACAAGAATAGCACCACCAGAAATGGTGGCAAGACAAGGAGATGTGGGGTCTTGTGGAATCCTGCCAAGTGCCCAATCCCTGGAAAGACTCTTGTCCCATAACAGTGATCTGAATTTGTTTATAGGTTCGTGTCTGCATGCAAGGACACCAGGCCTTCTTTTCTGAGAACACGCCCTTAAAAGAAGTCATCAGTCTTTTCACTAAAGAGATGCCAGCAGGAGCCCCAACAGAAGACAGCACGCATATACCTACCCACGCTCCCGCACCCACAAGCACCTCCGTGGCAGCAGCAGGTAAGTCCAGACAATCTGCGCACCAGAGGCATGTTCTAGTGGGCCTCTTCTTTGGTTCACATCATTGAATAACTTTCCTATTTTTTTGCAGACCCAGAAAATGGTTGTGGCATTTCTGTGCAGACTACTCAAAATGGCACTATTACGACTCACAATTCTCAAACAACTTCCTTTGTCATTGCTCTAGAAATGGTGGACCGTCCTACGCAGAACAAAGGAAGTGTTTCTTCGGAGATCCCACACAGCTCTGGGAGAGCAGAGCCAGCTGTGGATGGTTCCCAGGAAGGCAGCCTGGAGAGACCATCTGATCCACAGGACCCTGCAGAGGTGCCGGCAGAGCCTTCATCCAGGCCAGATGAATCCATCCCTAAGCCCGACCAGAGCCAAAAGGGAAACTCCACCGACAGCAGATGCCAAAAGCGATCCCAAAAAGCTCCTGCTTAAATGTGACGAATGCAGCAAGACCTTTAAGTTCCTCTGCAAATTACTAGCCCACAACAGAAGACACAAAAACGAGAGACCATATGTATGTGATCAATGTCACAAACGCTTCTTTCAATCTTCAGACCTCCATGTGCATCAAAGGATCCACAGTGAAGAGAAGCTGTACCAGTGCAGAACATGCAAGGCCTCTTTCAGCCACGTGACGAACCTAAAAGCCCATGAGAGAATTCACACAGGCGAGAAACCCTATCTGTGCTCCATCTGCCAGAAATCCTTCCGCCAGTCGTCCACATACCACCGCCATCTGAGGATGCACCAAAAAGCTGCCCTCAAAAAACCCACTCCGTTCCCGACGCATCCTCAACCTCTATGATGTAACACATGTATAAACCTGCACATATCCACATGCCTTATCTACACAATATGCCATAAAATATCCCGTTCATGGTTCCCATTTGTCTCCATTCCTTAAATGTAAATTGGTTCATACTTATTGTGGCAAATAAATATGACAAATGGGTGATTGCGTCATTGATGTTTGTTCAAATTACAGGAATGTACCTCCTACACGAAAAAACAGTAGAATTCCAACCTAGGAGACACTTACTGTTACTAAACGTTAAACTACGCACCCCTGAAAGGGAAACCAACGCCACAGTATCTGGATTTGGACAAAGAAGAGAGAACCTTTCTATTCTTTTCCTAGTTGTGACTTTCATGTTGCTGTTTTTTTTTTACTTATTTTTATTATTATTTTCACACATTATGATACAGTTTCCTTTATGTATGTCAATCTGACCCATACAGATCATCCAAACTCTCCCCTCCAAACCACCAGGTCTCAGTCCCCTCACCTACCTGCAAGTACAGTGACCCTGTCCTTGGGTGTCCCTCAGGATTGATTCCTCACCTAGACACACAGTGGCTTTATCCATGGATTTCCCTAGGCAGCAATTCCATACCCCCAAGACCTCCGAGCTCGCTGCCAGGCACCAGTTGGGTGGAGCCTGGCAACAACTGGCACACTGGCCACCCAAAAACCCAGGACTCACTCACTGTGTGGCAGTGGTACCTGTGGCTAGGGCACCAATCATTGAGTTTGACCCAGCTCAAATCAGCTCAGGTCAAACCACCAGGCTGCTGGAAGCTCCTACCACCCAAGCCCTGAGGTTAAATTCCTCTAGGCCCCTTCCACCATAAGATGGTGGTGGCGGGCAGAGCCAGGGCCTGCCCTAGCTCCCAAGAGATCCCTTCACAGTATACTTACCACAAAGGGAAAAATCTCCCAGGCCCAGGAAAGCCCAGGACTTGCTCACCACATGGCAGCGGTATTGTGGCTAGGGCCCCAAGCATTGAGTCCACCCTAGTCCATATACTACTAGCAGCCACCAGGCTGCTAGAAGCTCCCACCATCTAAGCCTCAATGACACAGGACTCAGGTTAGTACAAAGGGGAGGGAGAAGGGAGGTTTAGGAAGACCCCGTCGAGGCCAAGCCCCAGAGCTCGGCATGCCCTGTGGGAGCCACTGGCCGCTGTGACTGCTGGTCCACGTGCAAACAGTGTCCTGGGCACACGAGGACTGCTGAAGTCAGACACGCTAACCACGGCACAGGGCTCCCGTCCCTCTCCTGGGCGCTGACACTCAGGCTAGCTGGGCCCGGGATCTGCGGTGTGGTTCTCCAGCCTGAACGTCCCTGAAGGCAGATTTGGGGGTTGCAGTCCTGGGGTGTCCCGAGAATCCGGGTTTCTGACGTGAACCCCCCAGGGCTGCTGGTGATGCCGGGTAAAACGGTTTCTGAAAGTAGTCGCAGCATTTCCCTTCCCATTTTTACGCTTCAAGGCCTATCTTTACCAATCCAACACTTGGAAGCAGAGACAAGTCAAGTCCTGCCATGAATGAGAGAGAGAGTCTTGCAGCAGAGACATTCATTCTCTGGGTCCAATGTGACCAGTTAGGAGTGGGACGGAAGCCGGGTGGACTGGAGGAGACGGGAGTCCAGAAGGCACCTGCTGACCTGCTCCTTTCTTTCCACAGTGGACATGACCTTGGATGTGGACACGGCCAACAATTACCTGTTCATTTCTGAGGACCTGAGGAGCGTGAGCTGTGTGTCTTCCCCTCAGACACGCAGGGAGTGTGCCGAGAGGTTCGACACCTTCATGTGCGTGCTGGGCTCCCCACGCTTCACCTCCGGCCGCCATTACTGGGAGGTGGACGTGGGGAGCTGCCAGGAGTGGGACGTGGGCATCTGCATGGACTCGGTGAATCGGAAAGGGCCCGTGAGGCTGAGCTCAGAGTGCGGCTTCTGGACTGTGAGCCGGAGAGACCATGAAGGATTCACCTCCAGCACCGAACCCCCGACCTCGCTCAAAGTGCATCAGCGACCCCCGACCTCGCTCAACGTGCAGCCGTGCCCCCCGACCTCGCTCAACGTGCAGCCGTGCATACAGCGGGTGAGCATCTTCCTGCACATGAAAGCTGGGTGCGTCTCCTTCCGCAACACCACAGACGGAGAACACATCTTCACGTTCACCGAGCTCCCCACCCGCCGCACGCTGCGGCCTTTTTTTGCTCCTAGGAGAGCACCGGACGGCCAGCAGGGCCTCCTGAGCCTGCCTCCTGTGGCAGCTGGGGGCACTCGGCCCGCCCCAACCCCAGCCCCTCCAGCTCAGGACGAGTCAGCCTCTGTCCACAAGAGCCGCCCCCCACCCCGGAAACGGAAACAGTGACAGCAGACATAAGACCTGTCTCTTTCTGTAAATCTGCCTTTGTAATAAAAATAAAATTTTAAGTGCAAAAATGAACCTGTCATCGTGTGATGGGATTGTTCTCAGCCCGTGTCCGTGTTCCTGGGGAACCATGGTCTTCCTGCTTTTATTTGTGAACATTATGCTTAGTGGTGCATTCAGCCAAAACTTAGACCTGAACCGAAGCCGGGGAGAGGCTTGTGGGGTTGGGAGAGGGCAATGCGGTTACCTTCTTAGAACTGTATGAACACACAAACTCTGCTCATGTGTTACCAAAGGAAGACAAACTGGAGCCAGCTCACGTGTCCCAACCACCCCACACTCCAACCCTCAAAACCTGCTCACCTCCTGACCCGGAACCCCGACTCTCACTGCACAAGGACACTCGCACCCCACTGCCTCCACCCCTTGCAGCCACCACTGTGCCTGCAGGACTTGTCTAGGTGACCTCCGACAGGTGCGGCCACACAGGGTTTATGTTCCGGTAATGGCTTCTTTCGGAGCCTCTTCAAGATTGAGCCCCGTTCACAGCTGATGCCCAGAAACCCAAAGAACCCTACAAACTCCTGGGAACATCCAAGCTCAGCACATTGGGTAATCCAGAAGAAACACACTCCCAGACACGCGAGTGTGGACCATGAAGTCGACCAGGGACAGACCAGTAGGCGGGAGGGGGGTTGATGCAGTGACACGAGTCCCTGGGGTTTTCTTTAAGAATTCCACCATATGGATGGACAGGAGGAGGCTTGTATCCCAACCCTGGAGACCCCTGGATCCTCACCAAGGACTATCAGTATGGGCTCCAAGGACTACATCCCAACGGCCAAGGAGACCACTGGGAATTAGAGTGCCTTCGGAGGCCGAGAACTCTGAGGTCATCCACCCCCATTTGTGTCTACCACATGGGATGGAAGAAGCCCAAATCCTTCCTCACAGGATCCAAGGTGTTCGGAACAACAGCCAGGAGCCCTAAGCTGGCTGCAGAAACAGAACAGTAAACTTTCTTCAGGACTAGGGAGAGGAGCTTTCTCTGGTCCTTACCTAGTTCCAACTGGATCCCCATCCTCTCTTGCAGTGACCGTCATGGTTGGTACAGAGCCCTCCCCCTCCCAAACAAACAAACAAACAAACAAAATTGGAATAGATAGACAGAGAACAACAAGGAAAGCTTAGAACCAGACAGGAAATGGTCAGCATTGATTCACACATACCTTACCAGGTAGGACACAGAGATTAGATACTTCTCACCGGAGAATGCAAGATTTCTCTGCACACCCCTCCTAAAATAGTTCTACACCTCAACTGTTGACATATGCCTTGCTAGAGTTATAAGCCAGTTTAGACTATCCTAAAATCTGCCAGGTTCAGTAGAATTGTGCTTCAACACTATAGACTGCTAAATACTAAAATAAGGATAGACACGAGACAGCTGAGTAGTACCCTATAGTTATTTTAAGGCATGTAGAAGCTGGTTGTACACAAACTAAAATTGAAATGTCAATGAAGTAGTCACAGGATGTGGTTAAGAACTTGCATTTTTAACATATTGGTTACTCAATACCATATCAATTAATTCCATAATGTTGTAAATTGTTGTTGATGTTAAGTTGTGGCTTTTAATTGATCAGGATGATATTCTGCCAGCTCTGCCTTCAGACCAGAGATGGTCTCCCCAAGAAACCGTTGAATGTATCTGGACAACTAGATGCTGAACTCTTTGCTTGGCATATGCTTGCAATGAGATAATCTCAACTGAATTTGATCTGTAATACTGCAACAAGATGGAAGAACTCACCATTGGGGGGAGAGTAAGTGGAGGGGTTGGGGAATCCCAAAGCCTATGAAACTGTATCACACAATGCAATGTAATTAATCAAAAAAAAAAAAAAAAGAATTCCACCACATGGGGCCCAGCGCGGTGACCTGGCAGCTAAAGTCCTCACTTTGAACGCACAGTATCCCATATGGGTATCAGTCGTAATCCCTGCAGCCATGCTTCCCATCCAGCTCTCTGCTCTTGTTCTGGAAAAGCAGTAGGGGTGGCCCAAATCCTTGGGACCCTGCATCCACTTGGGAGACCTGAAAATGGCTCTTGGTTCCTGGGCTTGAATAGGTACCAGGTGTCTGGGTGGTATGCTGGCGTCTGTGTAGGATGCAGTGTCCTACTCTACAGTGATGGGAGCCTTACTCTCATCTCTGTCAGCCGTTTGGGGAGGGGCGGTAGAGACCCCTTGCTATGGAGCATTGAAACAATCTGTCTGCAGGTGCAGGGCTGATTCAGGGTCCGTGGGATTCTCTCTGATTGTGAATTTTAGCCCAGAGAGCCTGGCAAGCTGGTGTGCTTCACTCTTCGTGCTCCACACACAAGACATCTCGCTGCTGTGCTGCTTGAGACTGGGTTGTGTAAGACGCAGCCAACTCTCTTCCTGCCTTCCTCGGGGTTACATTTCCTGGTGCACTAACACTGGGCTCTCTGGTAGCCGAATAGGCCCTTCTATGAGGAGATGGTCAGCAAAGATCAGCAGCACCCTTCTTCA